GGAGGTTCAAATTATCCCACAATAAAGGAACCGAGCCCAAGTGATGATCCTCATGCCTGGGCATTACCCTGCATAAATAGCTGGAACATGATGGGTCAATACGCACCTTGGTCTTTAGGAGTTCCTTTAGATGTCCACTCCTTTAATGAAAGTATACACTGGACTAGTGATTTAAAAGATCCTCTTCTGGAATAAGAGAGACTATGCCACAACATAATCCAATAGTCAAAAAACCTGGGATGGGATGGGTATGTATTCCCCCGACCACTTCCCAACTATGGTATTCCTCAGCTTGAAAAATTTATTCACAATTTATCTGCTGCAATGGCTCAGGTTGCTGATATTGCAGGAGTGTTAGCCCAATAGAAATTGTTAGAATCTCTTGCCAAGGTTGTATAATAGGTTAGCTCTTGATTTAATTCTAGCCCAACAAGGTGGAGTTGGTGCCATTGCTAAAACCTCCTGCTGCACCTAAATACCACAGGAGAAGCAGAATGAGATATTAGAAAAATTCACCAGAAGACTACTTAGCTACATTCAATACGGCCTGGCCTGATTCTCCATTTTTAGGTATCTTTAATTGGTTACCCATTGGCATTAGTTCCTGGTTGTGCTCTGTACTACAAACCAGGTTAATCATTTTGATTGCTATAATTGTAGGTCTTACTAAATGTTGTGTGAAATGCCTAACACTTGTAATCAAAATGTAGTCCCCCTTGCTATGCAGAGGGTTATGTATCTTAAAGAAACTAAGCTCTTAGAGGAGATTGACCTCACACCTTGAGTTAGCCCTTTTGGATGATAAGTTGTTCCTCCAAATGTGGCCTTGCTCCACACATGCCCCAACTGGAGGGTCACAGAAGCAGTGTGTTTGAGCTATGGCATGGCGAAAAAGTTGATAAAAGATCAAACTTATAAAAAGATCAATCCAATGAGAAATCTATGCAGAAGAATACACTCTTACAATCTACAGAGATTCATAATCAAAATGGAGAAGTGTGAAAGAGCATTCTAAAATTGAGGTGCTTGACATAACTAAAATGGTTGACACAGGTCTGAATCAGACTCCATTTTGTCCTAGGCTCCTGCTTCTGCTTTTTAGGGTACATGGCCCATGATCACACACTTGACCAAGATAACCTGTTCTGCAACATTGAGGTGGCTCGTTAGAAGCGAGGATGGTGAGACTTTGTCTCACTTACTTTGGACATGTTATTAGAAGGAACCAGTCCCTGGAGAAGGACATCATGCTTGGTAGAGAGTCAGCAAAAAAGAAAGATGAATATCCACAACGAGAAGGATTGACCAAGTGCCTGCAACAATGGGCTCAAACATAACAATTGTGAGGATGGCAGAAGACCAAGCAGTGTTTTGTTCAGTTATACATAGGGTCGCCATGAGTTGGAACCATTGGACGGACCTAACAACTAAAGTGGAACATATTCATACACAATAAGCCTTTGGTTCCACCCACAGATATATTACCCAAATGTCATAGCTTCAGTAAATGTATGAATGAGAAAAAAAATCAGTAAACTTACCTTTAAAATCCTGTTCCTCTAAATCTACTTCCAGTACCAAAATCTGTAGCAGTCAAGTGTTCAACCAGAGAAAGAAAACCAGTAGGAGAAATATATTGAGATTTATTGCAAGGAACTGACCTATGTGATTGTGGAGGTTGCTCAAAATCTACAGGGCAGGTGATCAAGAAAAGCAAGCTAGAAGTGCCTGGCATGAGAAGCTACTACCCTCAAACAGAATTTCTTCATCTTCAAGGAAGCATCAAAATAATCTAGTAAAGGAGAATGAAGAACACCATGGACACAAGGCAAGTATTAGCCCAAGACACAGATAGGGCCACATAAACCAGAGACTCCATCAGCCTGAGACCAGAAGAACTAGACGATGCCTGGCTACCACCAATGACCACCCTGACAGGGAACACAACAGAGGCCCTGATGGAGCAGGAGAAAAGTAGGGCGCAGAACTCAAATTCTAGTAAAAAAGACCAGACTTAATGGTTTGAGACTGGAGGGACCCCAGAAGACATAGCCCCCGAACTCTCCATTAGCCAAAAACTAAAACCATTCCCGAGGCCAACTCTTCAAAGATTAGACTGAACTATGGGACATAAAATGATACTCATGAAGAGTGTGCTTCTTAGCTCAAGTAGATACATAAGACTAAATGGGCAGCTCCTGTCCAGAGGTGAGATGAGAAGGCAGAGAGGGGTCAGGAACTGGTTGAATGGACACGGGAAATCCAGGGTGGAAAGAGTGTGCTGTCACAGTACAGAGAGAGCAACTACAGTCACAAAACAATGTATGTATAAATTTTTGTATGAGACTTGCATTGTACTTTCACTTAAAGCACAATAAAAATAAAATAATCTATTTGTACAAATAACATGGTTTATGCTGTACGCCTTTTCTTCTGGGAGGCCGAAGTTTTGGTACATTTTAGGCAGAAAATGCCTACATAACCAGTTCCCAATAAAAACCTTGGGCAATGTGCCTTCCCAAGTTGCCATTTTATGTGTTGCCACATACCAACACTGAAGGAATTTAATGTCATGTGTTCCAAGCTTTTAAGTTTGTACCTGATTTCAACGTCACTCCATCTGCTTTTTCCCTTTACTCATTTTATTTTGTATCCTTTCACTGTAATAAATCATAGTCATAGATAAAACTATATATTGAGTCTTGTGAGTACTCACAGTGAACCAGAGATCCTGGGCGTAATCTTAGGGACCCCTGACACATCATGCATAGAGACGGCATAGACCTTATTAAGTACCTAGAATCCTGTTAAAGTATGGACCAGAAAATCAATTATGCAAACCTGTCTCCCTCCTAGATATACTTTGCTGAGTGTTGAATTCCTCCCCCAGATATGTACTGGAATCCTACCCCTTGTATCTATAAATATGACCACTTGTTAATGAGGTTATACCAGTGTACAGTAAGTCGTAAACCTAATCATTTTTGAGTTACAAAAAGACAGCAAAATAGATACACACCCGGAGAAAAATAGAGCACGGAATTAATGGAACAATTGAGAAGGACAACCTCCTGTAGCCACACCTTGAATTTGGAACTTTTCCCTCCAGAACTGTGAGAAAATATATTTCTGTTCTTGAAAAACAGTCACTTGTGGTATTTCTCTTACAGCAGCTCTAGGTAACCAAGATAGTATATGCCGTTTAACAAAATGCACTTACAATATACCATGGAATGGCATCCAAACATGCTCTTTGTCCTTACTGCTTCCACTCTGAGGGTCCATTACTGTCATGATACAGTACCTCCTTATATACACCTTTTCCTCAATCTTTACTGCATTTTTCTTTTACGTCTACATGCAACCACTTTGTTCTTCTTTTCAGGATTTCCTTCTCCTTATTAACAACCAGAGAATATTTGCTTTTTAAAAATTGGAGTTCTATTCATTGTGTTTTTATATGCCATATGGTAATAGACAGCAATCATATTATTAGTCCTAACTATAAGGGATTAGGAAACCCTGGTGGCGTAGTAGTGATTAAGAGCCATGGCTGCTAACCAAAAGGTCAGCAGTTTGAATCCACCAGGCAGTCCTTGGAAACCCCATGGGGCGGTACTACTGTCCTTATAGGGTTGCTATGAGTCGCAACCGACTCGACGGCAATGGGTTTGGTTTTTTTGGTTTATAAGGGATTAATACTAGTACTTTTTCAAATTCTGTTGTACATGGTTTACTGTTTTGGGAATACTGATGTTCACTGAAAAATTAAAACATATTTTATAGAATTAAAAAACAAAAAAAAAAACCAAAAATCTCCTTTCCAGAGAAAATCACTGAGTATCCCCTTAAAAATTACCTTATGCGTTCACGCTCACACAGATTTCATTATACTATGAATGATGCAATCTATGATTTTCAAAAACCAATGTTCTTATCCTGTAATTATGTCTATGCCGTCACTTTAATGGCTTCATGTTATTACAAAAATATAGAAAAACTCAAATTCCTATAGGTGAACACTTTTTTTCACTTGAAGAAAATTCAGTGACATCATTGATGTGATAGTCATTTTTGTTTTTTAACGTCATAATCATGATTTCCAGATGAAAGAGAAGCCATTATACATCTCCATATATACTCCTTTAGAAAAAACTGCATTACTCCTAACAGAGAAAATCATGACACTCTTGTCCAAATAATGAAAACATTTGATACAATTATCAAACTCTCAGAATTTTTTTTTTTGTATTTATTTCATGGTGTGAGAAAATATGGGGTATAAAACTTGACAGTATTATATGTCCTTAATATGTGGTGTAGCCTCTACCTCAGAAGTTTTAGTTAAAAAAGAAAAAGCTGTATCAATTAGAAGACAACATATCAAACCAGGATAAAAATGCAGATAATCAAGTATCAATAACCAATTAAATGCTGACAAAAAAATTGTCACTGGTTATGCATGAAGTGAATTACCTTATATGGCCCTTCTAGCCATGGTCTTGTAATTTCCACAAAACGAATTTGTGGGACTGTACAAATAAGAGGAGGCCTGGTTGCGCAGTGGTTAAAGCAGTGTGCTGCTAGCCAAAAGGTTGGTTGTTCGAGCCCGCTAGCTACTTCGCAAGAGAAAGATGTGGCAGTCTGCTTCTGTAAAGATTACAGCCTTGGAAACCGTATAAGTTGCTATGGGTCAGAACCAAGTCTATGGCAGTGGGTTTGTGGTTTGGTGCAAATAAGGTGCTTGTGGCATACCAACAGGATTGGACGGTTTTGTTAATGCAAATTAACATGCATGGAACCCTTGCAGGGGTGTGAGACCATGCAAATAAAGTGCATCAAACAGTTGCTGGGGTGGCACCATGCAAATAAGTTGCATGAAACCCTTATAGGGGATTGGTCAGCCTTGCCAATTCTCACACTGCCAAGGTTTCTCCCCACTGTGACCTCTCAGGTGAGACTGTAGTTGTGAAGATCAACTGAAGACTTTACCACAAACATCACGTGTATGGTTTCTCTTCAGTGTGGACGTGCTCATGATGTTGAAGACTTGAGGCTTGACTGAAATACTTACCACACTTCACACACTTATATGGTTTCTCTCCTGTGTGGACTCTCCTATGTGTGTTAAGATTCTCGCTCCACTTGAAGCCCTTTCCACACTTTTCACATTTGTATGGCTTTTCTTCATTATGGACTCGTTGATGGGCTTGAAGGTGTGAATTCTGACAAAAGGTCTTCCCACACTCTTCACATCTGAATGGTTTTTCTCCACTGTGAACTCTCTGATGGGTCAAAAGATGTGCAGCCTGTCTGAAGCCCTTCCCACACTCCTCACAATTATAGGATTTCTCTCCTGTGTGGATTCTATGATGAGTTTGAAGATATGATCTACTACCAAAGTACTTCCCACACGCTTCACATTTAAATGGTTTTTCTCCACTGTGGACTCTCTGATGGGTCAGAAGTTGTGAAGCGACCCTGAAGCCCTTCCCACACTCTTCACAATTGTAGGATTTCTCTCCTGTATGGATTCTACGATGAGTTTGAAGATTTGATCTACTACTAAAGGACTTCTCACACTCTCCACATTTGAATGGTTTTTCTCCACTGTGGACTCTCTGATGGGTCAAAAGATGTGCAGCCTGCCTGAAGCCTTTCCCACATTCCTCACAATTATAGGGTTTCTCTCCTGTGTGGATTCTATAATGAATTTGAAGATCTGCTCTAGTAATGAAGCCCTTCCCACAATCTTCACATTTAAATGGCTTTTCTCCACTGTGGACTCTCTGATGGGTCAAAAGATGTGCAGCCTGCCTGAAGCCCTTCCCACACTCATTACAATTATAGGATTTCTCTCCTGTGTGGATTCTATGATGAGTTTGAAGGTTTGATCTACTTCTGAAGTACTTCCCACACTCTTCACATTTGAATGGTTTCTCACCAGTATGAATCACCTGGTGAACTTGAAGTCTTGAACTCCAATTGAAGTTTTGCCCACCCTCCTCATACTTACAAGGTTTCTCTACATTGTGGATTTTCTGATGGATTTTAAGACATAAACTCTGACTGAAACCCTTCTCACACACATCACATTTGTATGATCTCTCTCCAGTGTGGACTACCTGATGGGAATGCAAATTTGAACTGTAAATGAAGGCTTTTCCACACATGTTACATATGTATGGTTTCTCTCCAGTGTGAACTCTCTGATGGGCCTGAAATTGCAAAGGATGATTGCAGCTCTTACCACATTCCTCACACTTACAAGGTTTTTCTCCTGTGGGAACCCTCTGATGGATATAAAGATATGAGTTATGAATGAAGTTTGTCCCATGCTCCTCATATTTGTAGGGTTTCTCTCCCTTATGGAACACGTAATGAGTATTAAGTGCTGCTCTACGACCAAAGTACTTACCGCATGTATCACATTTGAATGTTTTCTCCCTAGTGTGGATTCTCTGATGTTCCTGAAAATGCAAACGGTAAATAAAAGCTCTCCCACAGTCCTCACAATTATAAGGTTTTGCTCCTGTGTAGCCTTTGTAATGAACATTTACTGTTGCTCTATGCCTGAAGTGTTTCCCACATTCTTCATATTGTTGCAGTTTCCCTACAGTATGGATATTCAGATGACTTTGCAGATGTGAACTCTGACTAAATTCCTTACCACACTCATCACACTTACAGCAGTTCTTTCCTATGTGAACTCTCTGATGATTTTGAAGACCTAAGATATAACAGAAGCTTTTTCCACACTCATTACATGTGACAGACTTCTCTTGTGAGTGTAATCGCAGATGAAGATCAAAGCTGGACACGTCACTGGAGGTTTCTGTACATTCATTACACTGGTGAGGTGCCTCTTCTGTGTGAATGTTAGATAGTCCTCCTGCAACCAGAAACAGTGAATCACCTTGTTGGTAGAACTGGGACCTATTTTTCATGGAATCTTGACACCCGGTTAAGTCACTTGCAATCTGTTGCCAGATATGCAAGCTGGAAAGCTCCTCATGTGCTCCTGCTTGGGGAACAGTCTCCACCTGCCTTGGGTTCTTGCCACCTGTAAGGACAGACAATTCAGAGATATAGATATCTAAAAGATTTGTTAAGAGTTTTCCAGATTTCACACTTAGATACGGGATGAGACATTATTGAGCCCAGAGAAAGTTGAGGTGATCTTTTCCACTGCATATCATGTTCTCCAGTTTACATACCATCAAAGCCAAGAGTAGAAGCACTGGGCTCCAACTCACTAAGTATTAACAAGACACATTAGACAACACCAAATCAACTATGTGTGGTACAATGTAGAAATCAAAGCCTTAATTTAAAAAATTGGTAATATTATACAAAGTTACCCACTTGCTATTTCTATTAAATTTCACTTAGTATAGAATCTTGGATAGTAAATTATGTAGTTAGAAAAAATCATGTTGAAAATAATAATGAATCAACAAGGTGTACGAGTTGCTGTGTATATTTTCATTAGATTAAAATTTTAAAAACAAATACATGAGAACTTTAAGGAAAAGCAATAACACAATCAAAAGCATGCATACTTTCAGATTATTTTTTCAGTAAACTTCTCAATTAATGGAGGACTCTGGTGGCGCAGTGGTTAAGTGCTTGGCTGCTAACAGAAAGGTCAGCAGTTTGAACCTACCAGCTGCTTTATGGAAGAAAGAGGTGAAAATTTGCTTCCGTAAAGATTTACAGACTTGGAAAACCTATGTTAACAGTTCTGCTCTGTCATACTGGGTTGCTATGATTCAGAATCAATTTGACAGCAATGGGTTTTTGAAGGAAATTTTTACAGAGGAGAATGTCAGTTTTCTGTGTTTAAGAATAGTCAATAAAAAGCTGCCTAGTTATCAGGAAAGGTGGTAATAGGGAACCCAAGGTTGAGAAGGGAGAGTGTTGACATGTCAGGGGGTTGTTAACCAATGTCATAAAACAATATGCGTACTAATTGTTTAATGAGAAGCTAGTTTGTTGTGTAAACTTTCATCTAAAGTACAATAATAAATAAAAAGCTGCCTAGTTTGTTCTAGTAGATATTTAATCAGATTGTGTAAACTGTATCTTGGGTTATTTTCTTAGTTATCTAGTGCTGCTATAACAGAAATACTACAAGTGGATGGCTTTAACAGAGATTATTCTTTCAGAGTCTAGGAAGCCAGAAGTCCGAATTCAGGGCACCAACTCTAGGGAAAGTCTTTCTCTCTCTGTCAGTTCTGGAGGAAAGTTCTTGTAATCAACCTTCCCCTGGTCTAGGAGCTCCTCAGTGCAGGGACCCTGGATCCAAAGGATGCACTCCACCCCTGGTGCTTCTTTCTTGGTGGCATAAGGTTTCAGAGATCCTCTCTGCTCCATTCTCTCATTTATATCTCAAAAGAGATTGACTCAAGATACAATCTAATCCTGTAGATTGCATCCTGCCCCATTAACATAACTGCCTCTAATCCTGCCTCATTAATATCATACAGGTTAGAATTTACAACATACAGGAAAATCACATTAGATCACAAAATGGTGGACAGCCACACAATACTGGGAATCATGGTCTAGCCAAGTTGACACACAATTCTGGGGGACACAACTCAATCCATGACAGGTTGTTTTATTGGAAAATTACTCCAAAGTCTAAAGAACTGAGAAGCCCTTGAATCATTATAATGACTTGCAGATTTGGGAGAAAAATACACTATTCCTTACTGACTAAGATGCAGCATATAAGCAGAGATTCCTCCTTTAGCTTCTTCTGAGAAGATTCCTCCATGAGAACAATGGGGGAAAAAAGTTGAAGTGGTAACATACACTATTCTGAAACCTGACAGTAATTCACAACTTCATAATCTCCAAGACAGAAAGTGAACCAGTGCAAACTAATGCTTTATTAGAGACAGAGCTGGGGAGGAGAAAAAGAACAGGGCACAGTGAAATTTTCTGAAAGCCAATCCTATAAAGGGAGTTACATTCAGCCTGGAACTCTACCGAGATAAGATACTTGCATGGATGGTTCCTTACTTCTTTGAGGTCTCTCCTCAAATGTCAGTCCATCAATAAGTTCAAGGTAAAATAATAAACCCTGTCCACCTCTGGCAACTTCCATCCCCCTTGACTCTGTATTCTACACCATACTTACTACCATACGACAAACTCTCTAGGTCATATTTGTTCATTGTATGTCTTTCTGACTACGACGCAATATCAATAAGGACAAGCATTTACACTATTTCCTGCTTTATAACCATGCCCAGAAGACTGCATTCACACATCATGGGCACTCGACAAGTGCATGCTGAATGAATAAATCCCTGTTTCATGTTTTTGTGAAGATTTAAGTCAAGTCATAGAAACAAAAAAAGCTTTCTAAGTAAACTGTGTAAAAGAGGAAAGTAATAGGAAACTGCAGTTTTGCTGGGAAACTGAAGGCTGTTGTAGAGACAAGGTCCACCAAGAGTGATGCTGCTCAGGTGAAAATCAAAGGTTGCAAAAATCACTTCAGTGAAAAGAAAGTGTGAGGGCCTATGCAAAGGTTCCTTCTGAAGCTTTGGGCTATCTCTTTAAAAACAGAGTATTGAAAATCTGTGGATGTAGACAAACTGACCACTCACAACAGGTTTTCAAACTGAAGACTGCAGCCCATTTGTAAGCTGTGAAATAAATTTAAAGCTTGTAATAGCATTAAAAAGAATAGAAAATATCAGAGCATAATCCAAAGCAAAAAAAAAAAAGTCATTCCAGGAAATACCTTATGAAGTCATATATAAATCTATACAAACATGAAACGTTTCCACTGGTTACTATAAAATATGCCTTTTTGACTATGGCGTACTGCTTGAAAATTTGGAACAGTTTGGTTCAAGAAGCTGTCAAGTCCTTAATTAAGCAAAATATTGAAATGGAATGTTGAGGCAATCAGAAATACGGGCAACACTCAGCTGGGTGACTCATGTTACTCTCTTCCAAAATCGGCCCCCTCTTCACCAAAAAAGACCAGATTTACTGGCCTGACAGACTGAAGAAACCCTGAGAGTATGGCCCCCCGGACACCCTTTTAGCTCATAGGTGAGGTCTCTCCAGGGATTCACCGTTCAGCCAGGGATTGGACAGCCCCATAAAACAAAATGGGACTAATGAGGCACAGCAGTCCAGGAACAAGGACTAGAAGGCAGGAGGGGATAAGACAGCTGGTGATTGGGAACCCAAGGTTGAGAAGGGACAGTGTTCACATGTCGTGGGGTTGTTAACCGTTGTCATAAGGCAATATGTGTACTAACTGTTTAATGAGAAACTATTTGTTCTGTAAACCTTCACCTAAGGTACAAAAAAAGAGAAAAAGAATTATCTGTGTGAGATCAAATTGACAACAGCAACTCAAAAGGTTTGATGGGAAGCCTAGGGGCCAGTTGAGTTGAAGATAATGGGGATGGAGTAATTTGGAAAAGGATAGTGAGAACAGTAGCACAACTGACAGAATGTAATTGATGTCACTGAATTGTACACGTAGAAATTTCTGAAACGGTGTATCTTTGGCTACGCATATTTTGACCAAAAAAAAAAAAAAAATCCTCCAAGGTTGAGAAGGGAGTATGTTGACATGTCGTGGAGTTGTTAACCAATGTCATAAAACAATATGTGTACTGACTGTTTAATGAGAAACTACTTGTTCTGTAAACCTTCACCTAAA